GAGCGGCTGGGACAAACACAGATTTCCCCGGAGCCCAGACCAGAGAGGTCTTTGTGAGCGTTTTGTCCGAACCATCTTTAAGCCCCTGTTTTAGCGCGGTCACACCTGCCATGCCCCGAGAGTGAATGCTAAGAGGCTTCCCAGCCTTCGAGCCAACTTGCCCTTGTTGGCTCAGGTCTGGGTGCGCACCCTCGACGCTCGCAGAAGGGAAGATACAGTGCATGGCACGCGCAGAGCTCCATTTGGTGCAGTTTGGTTTGTTTTTTTTCCTCGGGAGAAATATTGTTTGAATTAGCTGCCTTTCACAAAGGGGGGCATATGTGCGCCTCGCGCCTGGCATATGTGGCCTTGTGTCCTAACAACACATTTGGGTGAGAGTTGGGGTGGGGGGAGAAACGTACATCTGTTGAACTTGACAATAAAGTCACAAAATAGAGCCGTTGTCAGCAAGATTAGTTGGTCTGTCATCTCAAAAGAGGGCGCAAGGATGCCGGCCACAGGTATTATATTATGGGTAGGTATGTTAGCCAGAGCAGCTGCTCTCTCTGTGTCTGTGAAGAGTATGCACATATTCGCTAAACATATGTCACCACAAATCACAGTATCTTTTTAATAGGCTTCCACATCCTGGCTGGGGGGGAGGGAGGGAAAGCAGAGAAGTGGGGCTCTGAGACGCCTTCGCTCCCACAACAGGTGGTACGGTGCGCACCGCACCTTTTCACGCATTCAGTGCTGCCCAGCTCCTTCGTTTCCGCTAAAGCGATCTCAAGAGTTTGTTTGTCATTTGCTGAATGGGGGACTCGGGGACGTGTAAATAAAGGCTCTGGCCACTTTTGAGAGACCCATCGCTTGTCTCCCTTCTTGTGCGTTTCCCCTCCCAAGTGTTCCTCGTGCGCCTTGGGCTCGCCTGTAAAATGGCATATGGTGGCCCTCTCACCTACCCAAAAAGGCTCCCAGAGCGCATGGGGCTGTCCCTTGTGCAGACCGTTTATTTTATTTTATTAAATTGTATTTACATTCGAAGTTAGTGTGCGGGAGAGAGACAAAAACAGGCCAAGTGTTATCTCAACTCCCTTCCTTAAATTAAACAGCACCAGTTGGTCAGAGCAGCCTGCAGGCAAGCCCCAGATTGCAAAACATTCCCAACGCCTGGCAGATGAAAGATGGGATGGAGCTCAACTGGTTACCATATGTTTTCAATAAAATAAGACAAATAGGACAGGGAGATAGGGATTGCAGTAAACCTGTTATAAAGTAGTATAAAATAGTCCAATGTAAACGACATAAGGGCCCCTCCTGGAAGGGCCATTTAATGCCAGCTCTGTACTGAAGCTGCCCAGACAGGTGTGAGTAGGAACCTAATGCAGTCCCCCCCTAGATTTTTATCACGTTTGTGGTAATATTGTGCTTGTTATGCTAACTATGAGTAAACAGAACCGACCAGTCATTGTGGCAATAGGAGAGAGTTATCAGAAAGTGCCAGTCTGAAGGTGATTTAACAATAAAGTTGCCTTGTTTCCCAGCAGGTGATGGCTGCCCCCAGCCCCATGATTAATGTTTCCCAAAGCACTCCACTTTACAATCTCTTGTAATTATTTATTAAACGAAATCTATTTATTATTATTTTAGCAAACAGTGGTACCAGGTGGGGCTTTCTTTTCCTCTTCAGCTTTTGTTTGAAGGACGTTTGAAGTGGGCAGTCTAAGGGTTGGAAACTCGCTCACCAGATTTTTGTCAACCATTTGCACAAGCACAAAAATCTGCCAGGGCCTTGCTATTCATTTTTCCCTTGTTGCAAATCTAAAAGGGCACACAAAATTCGAGAGGGAAGAAAAGTGTCCCCCCTTCCAGTCCCCCTGAAAAATGAACGAACAAGGCTTTCAAACCCCAAGCAGCCTCCCTTTTTAAAGCAATCACAGGCACTCACCAGATGCACATGCCGTTGGGAGCCTCGTGTTAACCCTGCCTCTCTCCTGCGCTTCTGGAGACTGCAGTGCGCAAAGGGGCACCATGTGCCAAGCTGGGGAGGGGGGAGCCCAAAGATCCCTGCTGAAGTGGGCAAGCAGCGAAGGGCCAGAGGACACGTTTCCAGCCCTAGAGAAGGAGCTGTTTCAGCACCACCGCTTTACACATAGATATCCGTTACAGCTCCCAGCTCGAATCCCCACGGCCAAACTTCAGTGATGTCAGGAGTGGTTTTGGTGAAGGAAAGTGAACCTTTAAAGGCTTCCAAACCATATTGTGTGTGCTTTAGAAGCACTCTTGTCTCTTCCCCCCTCTGGTCGATGAGTGGCTTCTGGACATTTAGAAATGTCATATCCTTTAAAATCGAAACCCTGGGAAATTAAACCTGCCTCCGCACAGACAAATCATGCTGCTCAGAATAGCTATTGCGCAAAAACCCCTGGCACGTTTTGCGCACTGAAGTGGCTGCTCCTGATCCTTTGCTCTGAGCGAGTTCTTCAGGAGGGAAAAGAGTTTAGGTCTCAAAATTGGTGACATCAGCTTTCCCCGGGGATTCTGTCTGCAGCAGGGCTCCAAACCATTCCCTGCGGGTGCTGGGGAAAGCTCCACTTCGCCCTTGGGAAAGAAAGCATCTGGCTTTGCTCACGGGGCGCCTCCTCACTTCTCCCGGACGGCTCGCAGGGAACAAGCTTCTCAGCAGAGCTCCTTTTCCCTGGGCTCCCCCCAAAGCTAAACACGTTATCTTTTTTGGCCAAAGGACCTAATAGCTCTTTGTTTAGTACAGCTGAGTCTTGAGAGCAAAATCTTATACTCATGTTAAAGGGGAATGTTTTTTTCTCACGCACAGGCTGGAACACCAGCCTCCTGCAATGTAAAGAAAACCAAATTGTCCCACGACTGGGCTAATAGCTGAATGCCATTGGTTTCCATCCTCACTGCGTGGATCCGGTCTGTTTTCTATTATTTTGGTCTTCTGCCTAATTTTTAGAAGCCTGCATAAGGTTCTAGTCCAGAGCTTTTGTTGTGCTCTCAGCTATTTATAAGGTTAAGCCCTCACCATCTAGTGGTGTTCCTCCACCTACTGAACTGGTGGTTCATTCAAACTAAATACAGGTATTGACTTACTTTTTCCTCATTCACATCATATATCTCTATATTTTTCCAAGTTAATTGGGTCCTGTTGGAAACCAGGATCACAGCCTGGCATGAAAACCATTCTGTTCTTATAAGGGAGGGGAGTGAGAGCCTGGCCAGAGAGGCCTTCCCTCTCAGATGCTCCTTGAATGAGAGGGGCAGCAGGCCTGCCTAGTAAGACTGCCCTCCTCCCCCAAGTATCTGATTGTAGAGTAATGGGGGATGGGGAAGGGGCAGAACGGAATCTGAAGGATGGTTCCTTGATTATTGCTGGGCAAGCTGCTCAGATACCACAGTTTGTGGTCTGTATAAGCACTTAGATATAGATACAGAACCTTTCTTTGGGGGTGTGGAATGGCCTAGAAGAGGCCTCCCCATCTTGATTTTCTTTATGGGGAGTAGGCCAGCACATTCTGGGAGACTCCGCCTGCTTTGCATTCTGCTGCATAAAGGAGGTGAAGGTGAAGGAGTTCACAGGTGGCTGCTGTCCTTTCCTCTCATTCAGTGGAGAGAGGGGAAAAGGGGCCAAAAGGAGCATGTGATTTAGGAGGTCAGTTTACATAGTGGGACAAGTGTCTCATGGGCAAGCGGATGTGAACTTGAGGCAGTTATGACGTACTATCTATTTACCTTGGCCAAGGCTAAACATATTACCCCAGCTCAATACACCTGCCCCCTGTAGGCTTCTTAGGATCCTTGTGCTGAATTCACCAAAGAGAAAAGGGGTATATAAAAGACTGTACTGGATGCAAGTGATGAAAGGGTCATCCAAGGCATCTGAGCCTACACACACAGAATCAAGTTGAAGCAAACATGGAAAAACATGAAGAATTTTCTGGGTGCCCCTACATTGGCTCTCTTGCTAGACCTCTCTCTGTTACTACTTATTTACTTTTGTCTTAAGCCTTATTCCCTCCAGCTGATAGGTTAATATATATTTGATAGGAAGGTTGAGTATATCAGGAAGTGGGGACCCCACATGAGGAAGTGCCCCTTCACGGAAGGGGACCACGTATGGAGTTAGATGTCTCTGAAGGAGAAGTCTGCATAGGCATGGCAGATGACTCACAGGCAGTCTGCATGAGAGGTATGTCTCTTTCAGGGGCAGTAGATGTATATCCCGGGCATCACGTTACGAGTGTGAATTTCTTGGGAAACAAACCATGGGGAACATACCGGGGGAGCGTACAGGGCGTGATCCTGCAAGGGGAGTCATTGAGAGCTTTGCCATTGATTTCAGTAGGCACAGGATCAAGCTCCGAAAGAGAACAAAATACAGCATTATCCTTTTTTTTTTTAAGACAAGGAGAGGAAAAATAACTGGAAAAATAACTGTATATATAAAATAAATATATATACACACACACATACATAGAGGCACTTAATTTAAATTTAAACATTTTAAATACCTCTAGTCAGTGTTAAGCCACGATGTGGATGTTAGGAGCTGCAAGTGGTCCACTTGGTGCAAGTGGAGGGAATTGATGGGAATTCTCTGCGATAAGACTACGCCAGCTAAACTAAAGAGCAAAGTGTATAAAATCGGGATTAGGCCAGCCATGAGGTATGGGTCTGAATGCTGGCCAATGAGGAAAAGAGAACAACAACTACTTCACACTGCCCAAATGAGAATGCTTAGGTGGATGCTGGGCAAGAGGAGAGCTGATAGGCTATGCAATGAAATACTGTGAGCCTGATGCAGGTTGCCCCCATCTCAGAAAAGCTGAGGAGTATCTACTGAGATGGCTGTGTCATAGGAGATGCCTAACTGTGATATATGTTGGCCAGAGAGTACAAGAGCTTGTAGTCAGGGGCCAAAGACCATGAGACAGACCTACAAAAAGGTGGTTCAAGACACTGAAATAGGACATGAAGAAGCTTGGTGTCAAGAATGCTTGGTGATGAAGAACACCAAGAACCACCAACCTGGATTGACAGGGCAAGGCAAAGGCAAAGAAGATATACATAGAACATTGTCATTTTTCTCAACATATTTTTTCTTCCTGGAAACTCAATTTCTTGTATGAATCCAAATTTTAAAAAGTGCGTTTCAAGTCTCCATCTGTGGAAACCTCCAGTGTCTCTACCTGCTCCTAAAACAAATTGTGAAGTTGCTTATTATTTCGGGGACTTGTCAGTATAAGGAAATTGTTGCTTAAGTATCTCTGAGATCATGTTTCACCATCTTTAAAATCAGGTGGGTTTACAGGAAAAAGAAAAGTTGGCACTGAGATCATTTAATTGTACCATTTAAAGTACGTTCCGAAGTGATTTACTAAAGAAAAGAAGTGATGTTGTTTGTTGTTCGTCCCACCATGTATTTCCCCGCAACCTCGTAGTTACTGGGCTACACCAGATCAGATATTTCAGATGCCCAATTCTCGGTAGGCGTTGAGCACAACAAGAGCTGTTTTGCCCTTGCCAAACCTGAAAACAAGGGATCAAGCGTGTTTAAGAATTTTGCCCCATTCTTGTATAGCTTTGAAAGATTGTTGCGAGTGGTTTATTGTTGGTGACGCCTAGAGGGAACCGGAAATCTGAACCAGTGTGCATGGGAACTGCTCGGGATTTTGCTTGACCGCAGGGCTAAGGGGTCCCTCTCCCCCCACCCCCAGAATGGAAGAAATGAATAAACTGTGACCTTGTGAGAAGCTGGCGTAGCTAGTTGGGTTATTTACTTTGGATCATCTCTCCTGGCTGGAGCAGGTGCGGGCAGCACGGCGCATGGGGCACGCCAGTTAATCAGTTATAGTGAAAGAGCAACTGTCTGAAAGACGAGGAGAAGCAACTGAGTTCAGGGGCTAAATGAGCACCGATCCTGTGTAGAGTGAGCACCAGCCGTGTCCTGCCACAGCCGGGGGGTGCAGAAACAAATAGTTGCAAAGGAGAGTTTTCCAGCTGAAGGGCGTGTTCTCTGGTGACCCGAGAGCTGCTGAAACGATGCTTTCAGGACTATCGCCGAGGGAGAATGGGGCTGTAGCCTCCCCTCGTCTTCCTGCTCCTCCTCCCCACGCTGGCCTTTGTTGGGATTCCAGCTGTGCGAGGAGTAGTGAGGGGCTCGCGTGGCTCGGCCCCAAGCCGCCTCTCTGATTGGCCGGTGGCGGGCAGGAATGAGCCAGGCACACTCCAAACCGGGCTGATAAGATAAAGCGTGCCAAGGGGGCACACGCTGTATTGATCAGGAAATCCCCATTGTCTCAGGCCGGTATATATAGGAGCTCAAAGGCGGTCGTGTGCCTGACGCAAAGCCTTCACTCTGCTGCACTTGAGAGGAGGCTGCTCCGCATCCCCAAGGGGTCAGAAGACGGGGAACCAATTTGGCTGGGCTCTTGCAACAGTGCAACTCCCACAGCGCCAGCTTCACCCCCGGGGGATCCAGGTAAGCGCCCTCTTCACTCTTTCTGCCAATAGCAGCGGGGAATTATTGCCCACTCGGATCTAAATCTGTATTTTACGAGTACCTGGGCTCTCTCCCCCCACGCCCATAGCCTGCGCAGATCCAGGAGTCCCAAGGGACAGCTGCCTTGTTGCCCTGAATTAGACACAGGATCAGTCCCTAGAGTGTCTGTGTGAACAGGTTTTGTTGTGTAGCGTGCATGGAGCTGAATGGAAACTGACGATTCCCTGTGCGTTGGGTTTCCCTGCAGGATGTCTCCCAAGACCGATTGCTCTCCTGGTGCCCAGGTGAACAGCGAGGGGGATCAGTACTATGGTGTGTCTGACGATGAAGGCTCCGCTTCCTCCCTTGGCACTGGCAGCCTGCCTTCCTCTCCCAACCCTTCCCTGACTCGGCTGCAGGCAGGAGGCTGCCCTGCAGACGAGGGGCCCGGGAGAGCCCCCCCTCCGGAGTGCCCGCAGAAGAAACAGAAGGCCAGAAGGGGACGCACAAAAGCCAAAAGCGAAGTGGTGCTGACGAAGCAGAAGAGGAACCGCAGGATGAAAGCCAACGACAGGGAGAGGAACCGCATGCACAACCTCAACTCCGCCCTGGATGCTCTTCGCAGCGTCCTCCCCACCTTCCCCGACGACGCCAAGCTCACCAAGATTGAGACGCTGAGGTTTGCCCATAACTACATCTGGGCACTGACCGAAACCCTGCGGATGGCCGACCACAGCCTCCTGAGCGTGGGGCAGCAGGAGCTGGCCAGGGAGCCTTTCCGGCAGCCCCCTAGCACCGCTTGCCTGCTGGAGCTGACCAGTCCCGGCAGCATCTCGCCTTGTGAATGGGACTCGCTGTACTCTCCAGTCTCCCAGGCTGGCAGCCTGAGCCCCACTGACTCCCTGGAGGAAGGGCGCTCTTACCAGGCTGCGGACACCGCGGCCTGCCCCAGGCACAGCCCTCATGCCTTCCCAGAGTTTGTCTGAGGCCAGAACTGTGTTTTGGGGATTCCCCCCCCCCACCCCTTCTCTTTCTTTCCCTTGACTTGTTTGCAGCTGCAAACACAAAAACGATGCACGGATGGTCAAACCATGCACCTCTTTGGACACGCACTGCCTCCCGACCCCAGGAGAGGAGAATGATCTTGGAAGTGACTCTGAAATCAGCTTTTCTCGCTTTGCCTTAAAAGATAATGGGGATCAACCCAATGGATATGCACTTTCCAGGGCTCCTGCTAGAGCCGGAGCACGTAGGGTGCGTTAGGAACTCTGAATGCTTAGAGAGGGATACTTTTTTTCTTTTTGTAATTGGGGAACCTCTCGCTCACCTATGGGCGGTTTGGGTGTATGTGATCAATATTTCACCGGTTGGTAAGTTTCAGACAAAGTTCTTTTTGATGTAAGATGGTAGCACGTCTTTAAAAATCAAATTTTTGTACTTGGAAATGGTAAATTATATTAATTTTTTCACTGTTGGTATTTATTGATTATATTTCATAACGAATATATATTTTGTACATAAGATTATTTTTGGCACCGGTTTAAATGATTGTACTAAACAGGTTTGGTGATGTTAATTAAAAAAACAAAAAAGGAAAATAAAGCCTGTCTCTTTTAGCGCTGTTATAGTATAGTGTCTTTTCAGAAGAATTTTTAGCACACACATTTGGGGGCTACCAACCAATGAGTCACCAAGGAGTTGAGCATGCTACTGTCCGTAGAATATTGCTCCAGGGCTCCACTTTAAATGCAGAAACAAAGAGAAACATAGGGATTTACATAATGCCTTTGATCCCTGCCTCCAACTCCTAATAGTCTCAAAATTTGCGGCCGATATTCTGTCCTGAAGTCGCACCATCCTACCGCCATATCTCAGCGGATCTCCTCGCCCACTAAAAACACATGCAATCAAAGCTTCACACTGAACTCAGACTAAACGTAACAATCCTAGCTGCTTGGCTGTTGTGGGCACTTTTGTGTTTACACTTATGAAAACGTTCTGGGAGAGTTATGCAGCTGGTATGCACGTTCCTTTCTGCAGTGTAAATCACTCACAGGGCGGCGAGCAGTTTTGAAAGTACCAAGTGCAACTGCTAAAAAACCGAGATCATCTTGATAATACAATAACCCCATCAGACTCTCGCACTTACTAAAGCCACCACCATACGCCATTTATATATAAAACTCAGTCTAATCTCTTTCTTCTTATCATCTTTCACAAGTAATCCATTTCACTTCCCCTGAAGTTTTCTACTGAATTCAGAGAGAAGATATATGGCACTAATCAAAACCTGGATGGGGGGAACAGCAAACAGACGAATGAAGGAAGGTGTTGTTTAATGCCTGGGGATTTAATCTAATAACAGGAGATTAATGAGTTATTGGTGGCTTATTGCAATATTCAGTTGTTTACAGGACGAGAAAAGTGTGCACCTGGAAACGTCAGGCTGAAAGTGTTATAGTCCCGCTGAATGAGAAATTCACAGCAGGAAGGAGGGTTAGGACAGTAATATATTTGGTTACTTTTTTTAAAAGTTGGGTTTTCTGGTGTAGCTGCTTCAACACTTGTATTGTATTTTCATGAATGAAGGAGTAGATGATTTTTTTTTTTAAGCAAAATTGCCTCTTTCCCTATAAAATCACTATTTCCTAGTCTTTGGTTAGATATGAAATGATTTCAATATGTTTTTGATATTGTTGAACTTCCCCCACTTTTCACGCACAAAGATTCTAAACTAGTCTCCATCTGAACACAACTCATGCATTTGTAAAAAAGAATATTTCATATTTCATCCCCCCAAAGAGATCTAGGTTACTTATACACTATGGGCTAAAGCTTCTTGCCTTACTAGAAGTCCCCAAAAAGAAAAGGAGTACTTGTGGCACCTTAGAGACTAACCAATTTATTTGAGCATGAGCTTTCGTGAGCTACAGCTCACTTCATCAGATGTATACCGTGGAAACTGCAGCAGACTTTATATATACACAGAGAATATGAAACAATACCTCCTCCCACCCCACTGTCCTGCTGGTTCAATGGGGATATTTTCATGAATAAGAGTAGCAGGATTTGTCCTAGGAATCGCTTCATCCTTAACTAAGATGCAGCTGGCTCTGGGGTGGAACGTGGTGAGTATTCAGCTGGTCACAGTTTCCTCACAATGCACATCTTGGGACAGAGGATCCATAAATTATGGTATAAGAAGTAGAGAATTGTATAAACAGTTTTGTGGCCTTGTGGGCAGTCGGAATGTGCATTGTATAACCTTTCCCTAGATAAAACCAAAGACACAATTCAGCTTCTCTTCCTTCTGCAGCACAGTTAGACTTCTCGCTGGCTTTTATCCTGCTTGATGTGGAGTAATTGGAAATCATGACCCAACTCCTGCTTCCTTTACTCTCTCTATCATTGACTTCAGTGGGAGTTTTGCAAAAGGAGAGCAGAATTTGGCCTCATTATTGCGGTTTCAAATGCAGCTGCATCTCATCAGCATTTATACTCAGTATTCTAAGCATCTTTAAAATCCCTGAGGCGATTGCTCTACAGAATTCCATGGACTCTTTTCCCCGTGCCACTATCATTGGTTTAGCTGAACAGTTAAAAACGAAATAAAACATCTTCTCATTGCTGCTATCCCATGCTACAGATGTAAGTAACTTTCAGGAGCTGAGTGCAGATGAATGTAGCAAAGCATAGTTATTGCTTATAGTGAGAGTGCACTATCGGTATTTAAAGAGTGCTTTACAAACCATGTATACAGCTCCGTCCTTGCCCCAAGGAATTCCCATCACTCAGCCCAATGCAGTGACACAGCACTGAATGACGCTGAAGGTGGGGAAGCAGCTCTAAGGATCAGTGTGGGCAGGTTTAAAGTTTGTCTCTTACATTAACTCGGTGCAAAATAATAAAATCTGAAACACGTTCCCGGGGACGGAGCCCTGGGGGATTTTGCAGGACCCAGACTCCAGCTCGCTGCCATGTCTTCCATTCCTTGCAACTGGAAGCACCCTAGCTTTGTCAAGCGACTTTACAAAATCGAGTTGCTAATTACAGTGTAGAGTTTCTCCAGTCCCCATGGGTTTTGTCTGGGGCTTAGACTGGTTATAAAATGCTGTCTGAAAACATGAATCTTGTATTTTTTCCCCCTTCCAGGGGCTCAATTTGTAGTTGGTAGATTTATGGCCGCTCTTTATTTCCTCTTCTCCGCAGATTCTCGGAAAGCATTCTCCCCCTGCCCCATTGCAATGTGGCCGAGAAACAAAGAGGTGCTGCTGGGCCAAAAGGCTATTGTGATGCTAATTGTTGTCAGCTGAGCCGATTTGCAAGCAGCAAAGAGACGCTATTGAGGCAATTTGTAGAACAAAAGAAATTTGGGTATTGGGAACAAAAACGCACGCACAGCCCCCACAGAAAAGGCAACAGTGAAAAATAACCGCTCGGCTGGGAGCCTCTTCTCAGCGATCTCACTGAGCCCCCGCCCCTCGGAGCAGCGCTCGCTCTTCACCGGCGCCCTGGACAGCCTGGCCCCAGGGGCTGTCGGAATGAAGCCTCCTAGGCCACTGCCCTTCCTCTCCTAACTCAGCGCGTGGGGAGAAAAGGGGCCCCCGGAAAGTCAGGAGCCGATGCAGCCGTTCCTAGGGCAGAGGCTGATTTGAAGGGTGAATCATAGAATATCAGGGTTGGAAGGGACCCCTGAAAGTCATCTAGTCCAACCCCCTGCTCGAAGCAGGACCAATTCCCAGTTAAATCATCCCAGCCAGGGCTTTGTCAAGCCTGACCTTAAAAACCTCTAAGGAAGGAGATTCCACCACCTCCCTAGGTAACACATTCCAGTGTTTCACCACCCTCTTAGTGAAAAAGTTTTTCCTAATATCCAATCTAAACCTCCCCCACTGCAACTTGAGACCATTACTCCTTGTTCTGTCATCTGCTACCATTGAGAACAGTCTAGAGCCATCCTCTTTGGAACCCCCTTTCAGGTAGTTGAAAGCAGCTATCAAATCCCCCCTCATTCTTCTCTTCTGCAGGCTAAACAATCCCAGCTCCCTCAGCCTCTCCTCATAACTCATGTGTTCTTAGACCCCCTAATCATTTTTGTTGCCCTTCGCTGGACTCTCTCCAATTTATCCACATCCTTCTTGTAGTGTGGGGCCCAAAACTGGACACAGTACTCCAGATGAGGCCTCACCAATGTCGAATAGAGGGGAACGATCACGTCCCTCGATCTGCTCGCTATGCCCCTACTTATACATCCCAAAATGCCATTGGCCTTCTTGGTAACAAGGGCACACTGCTGACTCATATCCAGCTTCTCGTCCACTGTCACCCCTAGGTCCTTTTCCGCAGAACTGCTGCCTAGCCATTCGGTCCCTAGTCTGTAGCAGTGTATGGGATTCTTCCATCCTAAGTGCAGGACCCTGCACTTATCCTTATTGAACCTCATCAGATTTCTTTTGGCCCAATCCTCCAATTTGTCTAGGTCCTTCTGTATCCTATCCCTCCCCTCCAGCGTATCTACCACTCCTCCCAGTTTAGTATCATCCGCAAATTTGCTGAGAGTGCAATCCACACCATCCTCCAGATCATTTATGAAGATATTGAACAAAACCGGCCCCAGGACCGACCCTTGGGGCACTCCACTTGATACCGGCTGCCAACTAGACATGGAGCCATTGATCACTAGCCCAGGACGCCCCCTCTTCCCGAGCTAGCCACGCTCTAACCCAGCCCTCGCTGGCCAAGCCCCCCACGGGGCGTGTCCCGCTCTCCGCCCCGCGGCTTGCGGGAGCTAACTCTCTCTCAGGCCGTTGGTAGAGCTGGCCGCCGCTCGGAGGACTGGGGGCAGCGTCCCATGGCCCAGCTGGCACAAGACTCCCCCGGCGTAGCTCTGGGAGCCCCCAGCTTCGGTGTCCACGGGAGGGGAGTTCTCTGTTGAGAAAGGGGCACAAGGCCCCTGCCCATTTATCGCTCCGGGGCCTTGCAGGGC